AGTTAAATCGAAGTGGTTATGATGTTTAATAGTTTGAAAGCTTCATTAAATAGACAAAATTATATATACGGGATAATACCACAAATCTAAGAATAATTTATAGTAAATATAGGCTTAGTAGTCGATATATAAATTATATTGTAGACAGTTTATTTTTTAAAAATCAATTCATCATGATCAACATAATTAAATACAATCAAAAAAAGCTATTCTTGATTTATTTAAATTATACGATAATGCATTTTAACTCTATTAAACATTGAGAATCTTACGATCATAAAAATGTATTTCAAAACTTTTCAAATGTTCAAAATACATCATAAGCTAGTACTGCACAAATGTTCGCATTAAAATTTTTTTTTTCATTATAAAAAATCGTTAACATTTTTTTTAAATAAAATGATTTGATTGTTTTAAATATGATTAATTAAATCAATTATTTTAAAACATTTTTATATCATAATATGCTCCAATGTTTTACAATGTTAATAAATTATAAAACATAATTGCCAACCTTATATATATAAATTATAATATTTAACTATTTCGATAAATTTTTAAAATCTAGATTTCAATCAGTGTTAGAAATTAGTACCAGATATAATTTATTATATTTTTCACATTAGCATGGGCTAATATAATATTTTGGCTCTAATTGTGTCTAATCGTCATTAATATTTTCCTACGAGAGTTTACCATTATTGTTTAGCATGTTCGCGATAGCAATATTAATATACAGGTTTTGTCCAAACTTTTGTCCAACTTATTCATCGGCGGAGAGCCGTATTTTAAGTAATTTAGATATAACGCGCGAGACCTTGTGAAGCAAGTCGTCATTGTCGGTTTTCATACAATATTTATATTATTGTCGCATAATATTATTATTTGTGTTACTCATCGCGTCGCAATAATAAACAACAATATGTAGCGTTTCTGCAGCCAAAAGAACGTTAGGTTAGATATTATAATAACATAATATAGTCGCTCGTTTTACGCGTGAGTGTAGGTGGGAAAATTAATGAGACGCGTAACTTATACTCGGGAGAAATTCGCATAATAATATACGTATAGTCATGGGCTTTACCTACACCTACAGAAAATTTTGTTTTTCGGCACAACTCTCGGGGACAACACCACCGGACAATGGATACATTCAATTCGAACTACTGTATATTAATATAATATACGTTTATTATATATTATATTATGCATTATATAGACCGGCTGAGACGGCGTATTTTATTCCACCCACACGTCCATTATACACACACACCGTGTATATATAATATATATAAATATAATATTATGACATTATCGTCAGCACTTATATAGTATACATAATATATGTGACGTGCTCGGTCTACCTTAGGGGTATCTACAACCGCGCGCACATCATCATAATATTATTATAGTATTATACGCTGCTACTGCATAGCCGCCTGCACTGCTGTTGCCCCCGCAGTGGTTATGTAAATCGTCAAGGATGAGACATACTCAGAGACTTGACACGGAATTATACAGTGATTCACTAAGTATGCTCAACCCCATTTTTCATTTAATAATTAATGTATTCAAATAATTTGAATTATTACAACAAATCATAGTTATTATGATTTTTTGTATTTTTAAATACTGTTTTAAACCATATTTTTAAATAATTGCGATTTTTAGATTAATTAAGGAGATTCATGTGGCTATACTACCTTTTATTATTCTAACAAGAACCATTTTATCACTGTAAATGATTTAGTAAATATTTGTTTTAAAACTTTAATGTACCCAATTCAAAATTCGAAGGAGTGATTTTTAATTCTTTAAATATTTATAATAATGATAAAATTCCTTAAAAATTGTTTTAATAAAATATAGAATAGATTTAAAGATTTAATATTGGATTTAACGTTTATTTTACTTGAAACATTTTTAAAAATAGATAATTATTAATAAGAACGATTTTTAATAAACTATAGTTCTCTAATTTCCATACTTATTATTATAAGCCTATTATTTAGTATACTAAGTTAAATATGTTAAAACTACTCTCTTAAATGTTGATGTTGAGAGGTAAATTATTTTATTGATAATATGTATTTAAAGATAGAAAAAAAACTTGAGTTATAAGTTGTTGACAAATTAGAATATTTTAAACAGGTTTCTAGTAAAATTATGTGGTTGTGGCATACACATTTTAGTGGGTTAATGAAATTACCCGTATAATTTGTAGATATAATTGTTTTTTTTATTTGCTGTTTGATCAATTAGACATGACATATTATATACACGCGGGTCGTGAATAGGTAATTTATTTTAATATAAATATTATATAATGTTATAGATAGATTTTACAGGTAGAACTGACCAACTTAATTAATTTATCAATACTTAATTATTTGTTTGTATTTAATATAGATTTTATTAAATTAGTATTATTATAACTTAACTATTTTTTTAAATTTTTTTAAAGAAAAATCTACAATCTATAACACTTGAGTATAATAAGTAAATGTGATACAGATAAGTTGAATACAAATTTTAGAAAAAATAGATTATAATATCCTTAATAACGTTTATACATAATACGTGCAATTTTTGAGGAAAGCAGCCATTCATTTGTAATACTTTCAATTTGCTATTTTATTTTATTTTCAATTTTTTTTTTTATTTATTTAATTAATATTGGGTGCTAACAGATCACGACACTATTTCCGTTTTAACTATCTCGGGGAGGTTACCGGGGATTGTAGGATTGACAAGATTTCTGACAAGAGGATTGGTATGAGATAAAGCACGGGCATGGAAACGTTTATAATAATATGATTTAGCTTCTTCGTAAACTCAAGGTATTTTGAAGTCTGTATGTATAGTGGAGTTAGAGACATAAAAAGGAGAATTTAATAATTTGCGAAGTGCAATGTTTTGGAATGATTGGATTTTGTTAATGTTGGTTTTCTTGCGTTTCCCCAGAGCTAGGTCATATGTCCAAGTAGGTTTTAGTAGTGATTTATAAATAAGTAGTTTAGTATTGATGTGAGTCTATTTATTATTGTTAATAAGGTTTTTTAGAAGGCGTAGGAATAGGTTTAGATTTTTTTCTTTTGGACTTAATATGCTGGGAATCGGACATTTCGGCACGGCTGTTTCGGCACGGCAGTTTCGGCACGGCTGTTTCGGCGCGAAGATATATCGGCGCTGGAAATTTCGGCGCGAGGAAATTTCGGCGCGTCGTTTTTTTTTTAAATTAACTATTACTATCACTATTATGAAAAATAATCTTAATAAAATTGTCAATAGTATAATCCTACCAAATATAGCTGTTATCGTATAACGTAAAAACCGATTATATAGGTAAGATAAAGGTGTAGATTATTAACCCACATAAAATCTAAAAATACAAAACAAATAATAATATATCATTATTTGAATATTACAATACATTTTAAAAATACAAAATAAATAAATAGTATATTAATAATTCATCATTATTCCAATATTATAATACATTTTAAAAATACAAATAAATAATATAATAATAAGAGTTTGGTATAGTTTATAATACATGATTACATGGTTAAAATATAAATTATGATAGCGATTCCCTTTAAACAGTCGAAAAAAAAAAGGAATTCATAATACTTTAAAAATGTTAATAATATATACAATTGAAATTTATTTTAAAGAAATATTAAAATAAATAAATAGCATATTAATAATTCATCATTATTCCAATATTATAATACATTTTAAAAATACAAAATAAATAATATAATAATAAAGTTTTATATGTTTAGTAATACATGATTACATGGTTAAAATATAAATTATGATAGCAATTCCCTTTAAATAGCCAAAAAAAAAAAAGAATTAATAATACTTTAAAAATGTTAATAATATACAATTTAAATTTATTTTAAAGAAATATTATGAGCGATTTCCTTTAAATAATCCATACAATTTCTTATATTATATTCACTAACTATTTTATGTAATCGATGATTTAGGTCGGTATATTTTTTTAATTTTTTAGGGGGACTCCCTCCAGCAGTTAGTTGCGTCATAAAAACATCGTGGCCTGTTTGAACCCTTCTTAGGCAATTTATAAATGTCCAAATTGTTGGGCCACACACTCCCATTTCAATATTCAACCTCCTATTTGCTGCCTCGGCATGATTATTTGTCCTATTTTCTGAATTTAAGACTCTATCATATAAATTCCAAATTTCTGGAGGGAAACGCGCATTTTTTCTTCCCCGACCATTACGGTTAATTCGACCTATATAATTATCTTCAAACCATTCTAATAAATTATTTAATTCCTCATCAAGATGTTGAGCTAATAAATCAACTGCAAAATCAAGATCTTCTATTTTTACAAATGCTAATGAAATTATCATTTTAACTGATATAGAAAAATCAGCGTCATTGTTATATCGAGTTGTGAGATTTAATGCACCAACTTGCTTTTTAAAATTTTTCGACAAATGAAATAAACAACCATATATTTTAACATTGGGAAATGCTTTTTTTATTGATTTTATGGCCGCTTGTTCAAAATCGCATGAAATTGATTTAGGATTTATAGCCGGTCTTAAATTTTTCAACATTAAAAACATATGATCATATGTTACTGATTGTTTATCGGGGAGTAAAATATAAACCATAGGCAGTATACCATGTAAATATTCAGCTAATATTACATATACTTGACTAAATAATGGAGGTGCAACTTTAAATGTACCATCCATGTACCAAACGCTCGAATTTTCCAAAATATCAAGGCTCTTAGATCGAGAAAAAATTAATATTCTATTAGAACCTGGACCACTATCACTTTGTAAAAATATTTCCTCATTACCGTTTGATGGAGAATACATAGTATACGCGGGTGGGATGTCTAGTGTAGTTAGGTCGACTGGATTATGTGGTGCCATTTGGATTTCTTGACGTTTTCGCCGAATCGTTTTTTTTAAAGTTGAATTATTTGGCAAAGTGGCCTGAATTCAAACAACAAAGAATATCTTTTTAAATAATTTATTAAAAATATATATATGTATAATATAATATTTTTTTTTTAATTAGCTTTTATATGCTAAACTACATTATCGTTCCTAAAATTAAATTAACGGGCCTAGTAAAAACAAAAAGCTGTCTGAAATTTGTACTTACTTTAGCTGCTTCGGATAAAGGTCCAACACATTCGTTTATTACAACTGATGTAGGCTCCATTGTTTGAAGTGCACGTGTCTTAATTTTTGTAATTGCAGCCTCTACTTCTATTTTAGCCGCTTCAGAATCATGAGTGTGGTCGTTAATTTTTTTTTGTATAATATAATCATCGATTCCTGTATGAATTCGACAATTACACATATCTTTATTGCGACACCTCCAAAATCGCTTTGTACGGTTAAAATTAAATTTGTCGAAAATATACATGAAACCGTCTTGTACAAAAATTTCACGTCCGCGGTTCGATAATAAATTAGACATTTTAACAAGTATAAATTTTTGTGCAGCAATGATGACAGGTCCAGAACTGATTGCTTTACAGTTCATACACTACGCGTATACATAATCGTCACTTTATATCTTAACTGCTGTGGGTTAATAACCTATACTTTTATCTTACCTATATAGACATATAGTTGGTTCTTACGTTACACGATAACAGCTATATTTGGTAGGATTGCACTATTGACGATTTTATTAAGATAATTTTTCATAATAGTAATAGTTAATTTAAAAAATGCCGCGCCGAAATTTCCTCGCGCCGAAATTTTCAGTGCCGATATATCTTAGCGCCGAAACAGCCGTGCCGAAACGGCCAAGCCGAAATGGCCGAGCCGAAATGTCCTAGACCCAATATGCTGGGTCTAGGTCAGCCTTTTATCAAGGTCCAGGCCATTATTCGAAGCACTGGGAATTAAAGTGATATAAATAAAGACATCAGGGCATGGGGCGAGTCTAAAGGTGAACGTCGAATATATAAATTTGGATTTATTTATTTTAAATTTCAAGTCGGTATAACTTAACTAGAAAAATTAAAATTGACAGTTTGGTTTGTTGTATATACTTACATCATGTTCAATAAAAATACCGTATAAATAAATATAAAATTTATATATTTTACGTGGACTTTACAATGTATAGTATTATATTTAATATATTTTTATAGTACACTTAATGGCTACTATCCTTTTGTGGAATTTTTAATATTAATTTCATGTTTTATATATTTTTGCCGTTATGGATACGCCGGTAAAAAAAAAGTTTTCCGGCGTTATTTCATCTTATTGGTCATTTCTTCGTTTTATCTTATATTATGTACCACATTGAAATTGGAATTAATAATTACATATTATTTGTGATATTTTTTTATTTTTTTATTGATTCTACTCGGTTGTTGATTAATGCTTTAATGTTACCTTTAAATGATGCGTTTGTAATAATAACAATATTATAACAATACAAATTTGTGAAACGTAATTTATTTTGGCGTGTGGGAATTGGGCTCTAGTAGATGGTTACAAATTGTAATAGCGAAAAAAATAATTGGCATTTTAACATTTTCTAAGTACACATAGAAAAATCATCACGATAAAAATGTATTTACTAATATTGTCTTGTGATAATATATATATATTTATATATTATAATCAACAATAAAAACTTGTTTAAAAATATGAAAAATTAAAAACAGAAAAAAATACTGTGTATACAATAATATATATTATTAATTTTTTTTTTTATATATTAAATATAATTTTTAGTTTAAGATAGTTGTTAATAACTAGTGTTACATTAAATATTATTTAAATTATTATAATTTATGGTACCTTAATAATTACAGTATCTCGATATGTCCGATAAACGCACATATTATTATATTATATAATTAGTGTTAATAATGAACATCGATTAATCGTTAGCGGTGTTCACACAAAGGTTGTAGCAATACTATTCTTAGGTAATAAATGTATATAAAGCTATGAAATGTTCACCTAATGTTGTATAATTGGTTTATAAACTTTTTTGGTCTAAAAAGGTGCTGTCACAGCACAGTGTATGGACAATGGACATGTTATAATGTTATGCTATAATATAGCATGCCTACAGATTACAGGACGAAGCATTAAACATGTTTTTTTATTGTGCTCTCCGTATATTTTGAGATTTTGAAAAAAATTATCAATAGCTTAAATAATTTTTAATATTATATTTTTACAATTTTTTTGTTAAGTAATAAATAAATGTGCATTTATTAAACAATAATATATAACTAAAAAATAATAAATAATTTATTTATCTCTCCTCTATATACATAAATTTAGTTTTTTTTTTTTTTTGGCAATGAGTACTTACTTATGTATAAATTACAAATAGAAAATATAATTAATTGATACAACGACAAAACAAATTTACTTTATATTATGATATTTCAAATAAATTCACATTTTTAACAATTTTATTGTTTTATTATTATTGATATTGTTGTTTTTTGTTTTTAAATATTTTTTAATAATTTAATTTAGACAATGTTGCAGTAAATCGGTCCTAAATAATTAATATATTTCTGACTTATACCCTTTTTTGCATAATTTATCTTAATATTATGTTTTAAGTTCTAACATGTTATTATACGTAAATACATTTTAACTAGAATTATGTTTTAATATAAAATATATTGTATATTTTTTATATTTATTCATTTATAATTTTATTTAGCAGAAACGACTTAGTATAATTAAAGCTATAAAAAATAAAAAATAAAAAAATATATTGTTTAACTATTAATATTTATAAATCCATTATTCTTATAAAAAACATTTTTTTTTTTTTTTTTTATATAAAAATCACAACAAACTTTGATTGAGTATATTAGTGTAGGTAGATGATTTAATTGGATCGCCCTGTATGTTGCATTTAAAGGACTGTAAAGTCCGTGCAGGTCTGTGAAATACGACCGCAGTCGCTCGTTGGGGTCCCAAACGGCCCACAACTATCGTGTAATATATTATATGGGTTATGTACGCGAAGTCTGACTTTCTAGAAGTAGAGTCGAGTTCATGCGCTCTTATTTTACATTATTTACCGTCAGAAATCAGCTGTATTATAATTACAAAGCCGTCGGGAAACTCTGACAACCATATAATAGATTTCGGGCAGCAATATTTAGGTAAACTTGTAAGTTTAACATTATAGTTTATAGTAAAAACCTATCTATTTAATCATTTTTAGATCATAAATCGTTACTGTGTTTTTAGTGTTCACTGTTTAGAATAATATTTATCCGAAATTAATGATTTATAATTTTTAAAATCGACGAAAAATGAAAAAAGTGTTTTTTTTTTTTTAAATATTAAATTAAACTACTTAGTTAAGAAAACGATGACGAAACATTTACATAGCGTCTAAAAAGTATCTTTATCTAATAAGTAATTAGAGCTAGGCGTTAGTTAAAAGTTAATTTATTAGTATTTCATAACAAATTAAAATACATTCTTAGAGAATAAAATAAAACATAAAACAAATTTTGATTTTTACTATAAAATATGTAAATTTAATATCAAGCATATTGAAATTTTTTAGCCAATTATTTAAATAAAATGTTAAGAAAAATATTTTGTTAGATTAAAAGCAACATTTTTCTAAGTAATATATTGACCTTATAGTTTTTGCATGAGAACTAGTTATACCTTGTAAGTATTAAAAATAATGTTACAAAAGCAATCATACTTTTAAATTCCCAAATGCCCAAAAATGCTTATACATTTTTAAAGCTCGAGTTATAAAAATTAAATAATTATAATTTATAAGTTTCATTAAATCTATAAAACCATAAAATATTTATTTTTCACTAAGCAAGTAAATTAAATCGTATATATATATATATATATATATATATGTTGAAATTAATAATAGAAGTACTATAGTAGAGTGCCATGGAGTAATAAAACATGGGCATATATAATAACTAAATATTTTTTCAAAAAACAAATTTTTTCGTTCAAAATATTTTATGGAACCAATATTGCAGAAAAACAACAACAAAATAATCCAAAATACTATTTACATATGTTTCGTTTTCGAAACATATTTTCATCCGGTATAGTTCATTATATACTCGTATTTGTATATTATTGATAAATCTTTTATTAGCTTCAGGCTGATACAAAATAATAGGTATGCTCGATATTTTTCAAATATTTACTTACATAAAAATGTAATACGTTGGTATTATGTTATTATTAAAAGGTTATATTCGTACTGTCATCATAATATTAAAATAAAGATATGCGTTTTGTTGAATTTCAATTTAAATATTAACATAAATTATTATGTTATTAAAAAAAAGAAAATTTTAATACTCGGCTTAGTTTTATATTAACGATACGATTGTTTCAATTCTACATTCGTATTAATTTGCATGTACGGGATTAAAATGATGGACTTTCGAAACTGTACTCGAAGATAAAGCGAAAACAGAACTTGCTAAACATATGCACATTAGGTATTACACGGACAGTGTGTAAAATGGATAAAGTAGAAAGTCCTGCATTTTGTGGACATTTCGTAACGACCCTCATATAAATGTCTAGTTAAATGTGTACATACTATTATACCCGAGTTGATGTATATAATAGTGCAATATCCATAAAAGTATAGTAAGTGTACAGTTAAACGGGTGGAGATGCATTAGTTATTACAGTGACAGCATGATCAGCATTTTATCGTAACTGGCGCATACATTTCTATATTAATTAACATAATTAAAAGAATTGTATCCGTAACATAAATTATATTATTTTATGTGTGTCGCGAAACAACTAACTATCACAAAACGATGAACATCGTTGCATGGATAATGGGTTGAATGTTTATAATATATGTATATATATTATTACAAATATAATCGTGTTGAAAGTGTTTTCTGGTGAAGAATGAATACAAATTGATTGTTGATACTTCTATCTGTCATCAAAAAATGACAGTGATATTGAATTTCAATCGTTTTATCTCACCCGTTTCAATATACACGTGTCACGCCATATACATATTTTACCATCTATCGAGAATATTACATACCTTCGTACAAATAATTTGTTTGTCATATTATTATTTACATTGTTTGATAAATCCGACACAATCAGTATTTTTCAGAATTATTAATGCAAGATTAGATTTTTATAAGCTTTATTTTATCACCTTTCAGTACCTAAACACATTTTATTGAAATTGTGGCTCTATTCATCACTACGTGCAATGCTGGAAGCATTGTTTTGAGCTGCTGTTGTAAAAATGTTTTAGATGCTCTTACCCCGTAGGCATATAGGTATAAATAAATTGTGATTTTCTCACCAAATCTTAACACGTTTAATATTATGTTTTTCTTATCATTAATTAATTGACGTGATTAATTAATTAGTATTTTTATATTTATATCTTATCCTCAACACATATAATAATTGTGCAACTTGGTGTGCTCCAAATTAAGAAATAAAAATGTATTAATCTCAATCATAAATCATAGTTTATCGATTATTTTGTTTGACAAATACAATATATTATTATCAAAAATAAAAAATGTATATGAATAACTATAAATATTATGACATTTTTTTATTCGTTATAACAGATATGACATGTACGTAAACATCGCTCTTTTTTTCCTTTTTTATTCAAAATAATGGTCTTAGTTAAGCCACTGTTATAATATGTTTATAATATCATATGCATAATACACATAGTATTGGTTGTCATCAACGAGTTGTCGAGGTTTCGTCATTTGTTCTCAACTTTTATATGGTTTATTATGTCGGATTGATATGGCTTATTATATTGGATCAC